TATAGGAGTCCTACTTTGTAAAACAAGTGACTGTTAAAGCATAGAACAGAGATAATGCTTACATTTCATAGTGTGTAGTAAAAAGAGAATTCCATCTTTTGGAGCATTTGGTTAATTAATGGAGAGAAACTGTCTCAAGGGAGGGCTTAGAAAACCACAAGTGCTGAAGCAATGAAAGAAAAGCAACCAGCAGTATCTGAAGCAATTGTTGAGCCCTGTCAATTAAAATTAGAAATGAAAGACTGGCCACAAGTCACTAATAACTCTTGTGAGTGCTTCTTTGTTAGACTGACCTAAGATAGAACACCCAACTATAGAATGATGTGTAAGTCAGGGGTGCATTTATGCCTTCTGAAAAGGAAAGAAAACAGTTACTGGAACAAGATAGGACTGCCATACAAACGGACTTGGAGGAGAATAAGTATTATTCAGACTGACTGAAATAAAAGTATATTAAAAACTGGATAAAATTTGAAATGGAAAAAGGGAAGGGTAGTGAGTACAGTAAGTTGAAAGTTGTTTTGTCTTAATTTTTCTTGGTGAAAGTGTGGCATGCACTGCCATTAAGTTCTCTGAATTGTATAATTTAATTCTTTCTCTGGTTCCAGAGCTGTATCAGCCAGCAACCTACCACGTATCAGAAGATGGTTCATTTAAAATTGTGGATGAGAAGACTGCAGAGAAGGTAAAAAGTTTATAGAGAATGCAGTTAATACAGTAGGGAGAGTTTGGGGCATTGCTAAGCCCTCAAACTCAGCATATTGGTTGATATTTAGAAATCCTTCCTTACTGGAAAGAGAATGCCCAGATATTTCACTTGTATTTTACTATTTGCAAAGGATACCCAGCTTCCAGAAAAATCTTTACTGCACACCTGAAACAATTAATATAATTGTTGCCTTGCACCAGACTTTAATAGATCCACTAAAGAACTTTTGTATGCGTTGGCAAGAAGGGAATTGATTTCATTATGCCTGAAATAGACCCCTCTACATTCACTTTCTTTTGGCCCTCTACTCATGTTCACAGTAGTATCACCCAGTGCAATAAAATGTACCTGTCTGAATGAACAAGTTGTATTTTCTTAGTAGCAGCAATATTTATTTGATTAAAATGTTTAGATCTGGAGTCACTTTACAAGTCTCAGTAGAATCTGAATCCCTTGCCTTTTGCCTCTGCAAAGTATGAGTAATGTTACAACAGAACTTGAACTGGGGCTTGTTCTCTGTTTCCAGACTGGTGCTCATGGAATTTCATTCCTGTAATGCAGCAAGGTTGGAATGCTGAGGTTTTTAATTCTGTAGGGCAGAGAAAGAATTAATGCAGGCAAAAGGGACTTCCTAGAAAGGAGGGATGTTTCAGCTGCTGGGAGTAAAAATTACACCAGAGAGCCTAAGAAGAAGAAAGGAATTTCTAAAGAGAGTGCTGCAGATAAAGTATTTAAATACTGAATATAGGAAGAAAAAGCAACTTAAGGGGCTGGAGATGTTTTGAAAGTGAGCCACGAGACTGCAGTTTCATGGTTGACATTTATTGCCTTTTCTCTAGTTAGAAATGCATCACCAAAGGAGGCACATCTTTGCATCCTTGACCTATTCCCAATTGATTGTGGAAAGCTGTGTAGCTGTACATGTTTTGCTAGACCAAGTACATGTTGTGTAACCTAGTGAGTTTGATTATCAGTTGTTTTTCTGGAAGCTTGCTGGAATTTTTTGCCAGGGTCAGTACCATATACACACTCCTTTGCCTTTAGGTGCCCTGGATCCCTCTGGACCCCTTGAAACCAGATCTAGAACTGTATCCAGAGTATGCTCAGGCAAAACCTTTGCAGTGTACCGTGAAGGCTGGTGAGATGTTATATCTGCCTTCTCTCTGGTTCCATCATGTTCAGCAATCTCATGGCTGTATTGCAGGTAAAATAGACAGTATTTCCAGATACATTTTTGAACTGTGGTGGGTGTGCAGCTAGATATCCCACAGCAAAGCACCACTGGGAGCAAAAGTTCCTTTAAGGTTATCTGCCTCTCTGTAGGAGGGAATAACAATCTTGACAGATCCCATGGGGCTGTCTCCTTGCATATATAATTTTGGTTATAATTCATACCTTTGTCGTCACAACATGAAAGATACTCTGTTTTCAAAGGAGCAGAAGTCTGCTCTGACCCAGTCTCTTACCTTGTTAATAACGTTGTGTTTGTGTTACTGTTCCCCTGCACTTACCAAAAAACTTGTCATCGCTTTCTTTGTAGGATTTATCATCATCTCTCTATTTCTTTTTTTTTTTCTTCTCTCCTCAAGTGAATTCCAGAATTTCCATCAGTGCTCCTTTGGTACATGTGGAGGGGTGGGGATGGTACAAGGCATTATTGTTATGTTGTGCAAGTTTTGCAAGGTTTGAGGAAGAGATTTTTGCTGGAATTTTTGCTTGTTCTTTGTCTGGAATAATCCTGATAATGCTGTTAAAGAAAAAAATATTTTGAGCAGCATAACACTAGTATTTGTATAACACTGCAAATATTGCAAGCCCTTTTTTCAGTTCTTGTGATTCTGTGATAAAAAGATGATCTAGCATTAAGGCAGTAATTATGATTTTTTTTCCCAGTGCTGCTGTATCAGACCTTAAAGATTTTTTTGAAAAAGTAGAGTTGTTTCCAGCTGCAAGCCCCTGGCCACTTTTTTTTTTCTCTGTTTAGCAGAAATATCAAAGAGTTTGAGTTTATTTGTCGTTTAGTCTGTTAACTGCAGTACAGTCTGTATACACTTGAAAAATCAATATTCTCTTTGTCTGGTCCAGTGAATATCTGAGGCTAGAGGATATCTTCCACCAAGAAGCATTGGTATAATATTAGTGTATGGCTTAATTTTCCTAGGAGACATACCCCAAAATTAGCAAGGGAAGCAGAATTAAAGCACTGTCTGATTGATGACCACTGTGAAGTAGTGATGAATTTGCCATCCTTTACACAGGAAGAAAGGTTCCCATCCAGATATTAAACTTTGCAGTTTGGTGGTTTTTGTCTAAATAGAAACACACTGTTCCTAAGCTACTGTTTTGCCATCTTCTGCTCCAGTGAATCTCCAATACAGAGTCTGAAGTTGGTTTGGGTTAAGACACAGTTGCATTGGCAGCACTTTTGAAGAACTCCATTGTTGTTTTTAGCTGTAGTCAGAGATTTGCTCATTTCTAAGTTCAGTCAGTAGTAAGGAAAAGCCTGTACTAACTGAAGTGTGTAAAGCAGTCTATGAACACATTGATAAATCATTGCATTCTAGCCTTAAAATGTTTTTCCCTTTTCTTGTCTCCTCAGTGAATTATTGGTATGACATGGAATATGACATTAAGTACAGCTATTATCAACTACTAGATTGTCTCACAAAAGCTGTGAAAATGCTATAGCAAAGGTGGGAGACTCGAGCCTGTGATGTCTGTTTCTGATGTGATGCCTGCTTCTGATGTGATGCAATCATCAGCATCTGTGACTGGAGTACAAATGTGATTCCCCCAAAAAGATCTGAACATTAAATTATGGTCAACAATGCCTGCTGAACACATCATGGCTATTTTTCTTGATTTCAGAGTCCAGAGCAATTGGCCGGATTTTTTGGTTTATAAGTAGAACTTTGATTTTGAGGTCTTTGCATGTTGCCTTGGTGATGGTGAGAAAAATAGAATGTGAATGGAGACAATCCAGGTTTTGAAAATCCCAAACCAGAAGCCCTGACTGTTCAGATCTACGGATTGTTTTCATTACAACCCAAGTGGACAAGGAAGGATCTGCTCTATGCATCAGGCTGCAACAGTCCAATGTATGCATTCTGTTTAAGGCAAAAGTCTGTCCTGTTGTAATTCTTTAAGTTCAGTGGCTGTGATATTTTGATGGTGAGAAACTACAATTTCTGCAATAAATAGGTCAGTTTAAAGCTTATTTCTATACTAATTTACTTTTTTTTCCAAAGTAAACAATGGCTGAAGGACATCTAGGAGGACATGCAAAAGTCAATGTTGGCTATTTTCCAATAAAAAGCTACACGTTTTTAGTGCTGTTTTTTATTTCTTTTCACTGCTGTATTTAAACATAACTGCAATCTCTTACATCCTAGGGATGATTTTAGAGTTGCTCTGCCAGAGCTGCAGTCAATCTGCATAGCATCTGTGATCTCATGGCATGAGGTGTGATTCTGCAGCTTGCAAGCTCACTGATTGTTTCATTCCTTTGCCATTAATTGTTGCTTAGTGCATGGTCAGTCAAGTTGTTATGGTTCAAACAGCCATAATTCCCATTTGTATTTCCACAGAATGGGATGGGACAACTCACGAGTCTGAGACCCCCAGGGTTGGACAAGAAGGCTTTTAAATATGCAGACATTGCAAAAATGTAGTAATGTTGTTTATGAAAACCAAAAGCTGGTGTTTATTGTCAAATCTTCAAACAGTTCCTTAGAAACATTATCAATATGGGGGAAATTAATTATTGGGAAGGAAAAAAAAGAGTAATTGTTTGACTTTGTTTCTTTTGCTTTTTAAAAGACATAGTTATAGCATAAAGTTTCATTTTAGCTTGTGGTGCTTGTCCAAACATTGCAGAAAGCTGGAGGGGGACTAGAGCAGGCTTGGTTTCGTGGCGAGATTAAGATGTCATGCACTTTAGGCTTTGAAGCTTGTCTGTGTTTACTGTGCCCTGGCGAAGGCTCCCAAGCCTTCCAAATCTGGGATTTCCTGCAGCTTTGGAGCGCGGCAATTGGGATACCTCTTTTTGCTGCTTTGAGGTTTTTAATTTAGTCTCTCTCTGTGACCAAAAGTAAAAGCACTCGCCAGGAACAAGTGGCAGCTTGTGCCCGTGCAAGTGGCCGGTGCCACCGTGCCGCCCGAGCCGCAGAGTGCGGAGGGAGGCGGGCTCTGAACTACGGCTCCCAGCAGCCCGTGCCGGCCGACTGAAGGAAGTGCTCACGATGGTTCCTCCTGGACTTTGAGCACAGATTTTAATCCCGAGAAGGGACAGGTTGCCGAGGCTCGTGTCTCACGCAGTTCGGGCGGTCGGTGCCTCGCCCCAGGAAGGGCCGCAGCTCTCCGCGCAGCCGAGCCGGGATGGCGGTGCAGGTGTCCGTCCTGCCTTCCCGCAGGTGCCTGTTCGATGAGCCCGTGCAGATCCGTGTGGCCGGTCTGCAGCCGCAGCAGCCGGTCATCCTCCGAGCCAGCCTGGTGGACGAGAGCGGGGAGCTTTTCCAATCCCACGCTCTCTACAGGGCTGAGAGCAGCGGGGAGCTGGACCTCAGCCGCTCCCCAGCGCTGGGGGGCAGCTACTTGGGAGTGGAGCCCATGGGGCTGCTCTGGGCTCTGCGGTCCAAAACGCCCTATAAGCGGCTGGCAAAGAGGAACGTCCTGACCCCTTTCTGTGTGGACTTGGAAGTGTATGAGGGCCGTGGGGACACGAGCCGCTTGCTGGGAAAATGCACCAATGAACGATGGTTTTTAGGAGAGGGGGTGAAGAGGATTTCGGTCAGAGAAGGTCGTCTCAGAGCAACCCTCTTCCTCCCTCCTGGTGAGTTTAATTCCATTCTGGTTTTCCATGTATGACTGACACTACGTATTATTTCCCGTGGTCCCTGAATGCACTCAGCAACCCAGAGCAAAGCCTCAGCTAACACTTCCCTCAGCCTGTGCCTGGTGCAGGTACCTGGATCATCACAGCAGAGCAAAGAGGAGCAGGCGCTGCCGTACGGTGGTGCAGAGAGGGCAGCAGTGGTAACACAAGGTGTTTCCTGCTTGATCTAGTTGAGTGTCTTGACTTCTTCTGCGGTGAGAGGTTTGTCAAACAGTGTGTTTATTTCCTAGCTTTTCTGTTTAGCTGACAGGACAAAGAGGTCCCTGGTCCTTGGCAGAGCTGTGATGCGTGACAGCTCTGGCTGTGGAGTGAAAAATGACAAGGCATGGTGGAAGCACTGGACTCAGGCTACAGCCAGTCTATGCTGAAGAACCTTGCCCTCTGCAGCTTCTACAGATCTTCCTGCAGGTTCTGGACCTTTCTCTCTGTGTCCCTCTTTAGCTAAGGAAAAGCCAAAGAAAGAAGTCTCTTCCTGACTGGGCAGCTGGACTGCGTGGGATACTTAGGGAGATGGGGGACAAATGGGAAAAGCAAGGTCTTTAATTAAACAGGTGCCATATTTTATGACTCTATACACAGACAGTGCTGAGAGTGGATCCTGTGCAAAGCTGCTTTAAGCCTGAATTGTTTCTGTTCCTTGAATGACACTTAAACATGGCTGTCTTGCTCTGTAATTAACAAACAGTCCCTTGCACCTGCAGCAACACCACATCTTGTAAGGGAAATCTGGCTGTGAGAATGAGCAGACCAGATCAGGAAAGGAAGGTCCTATTGCTGCAGGAGAACTGAGGAGCTCAGGGGTAGTTACTCAGATCTTACTGAAGCCTGAATTGGCACAGGTCAGTTCTGGCATTTGTGAGTATTTCATAACCCAAGTATTTCATAAACCAAGTATTCCCAACATGGCATGTCTGCTAGCATAGTGCCTAAGGAAGAGCCACTCCTGCAGTAATACTGTTTCTTCACTGTTCTTCAACGGCCTGAGGACTTGTAGGCCAATGCCATCTGAAATTCAGGATCAGGGAAGTCTATCCAATGTGTGAACTTCCTATAATGAGTTCCTGAGAGAGAAAAGAGATGTGCAAATTCATGTCCTTACAGTCAGTTTGTGTGTTCCTGAGAATGATACCCACCATGGAAAGCTTCAGAGGATGATTTTCTTCTGATATCTACTGTCCTGATGTGTGCTGAAGAGGCACCACAAAAGGATACCCAGAGGAACTTTTCTTTTGGTTATGTATACACCCTCCTTTCATTGCAGGACCTGGCCCATTCCCCGGACTTATTGATTTGTATGGATCTGGAGGAGGTCTTATTGAATACAGAGCAAGTCTCCTGGCTAGCAGAGGCTTTGTGACTCTGGCTCTTGCTTACATGTCCTTTGAAGATATCCCTGCTATGCCAGAGGTCCTTGAACTGAGCTATTTTGAGGAGGCTGTGAACTTTTTGCGTAAGCAGCAGCAGGTAAGAGACAAATTATAGTGCTCTTCCTGACACTATTTTCCAGTTTGCTAATCGGTTTCTAGACTAGAAGTATTAAACTGCTTAAGCAGGAAACCATAATTTTGTACTAGTTTTGCATCTTTTAAGATTTTAGAAGGGGAAAAAATCCATTGGATTTTTTACTGTTTCTGAGATATTACAGGCTTTTGATTCTGAGTAAGTTTTGCAGGACAGTAATAAAATACACTAACAACAGAATCCTTTACAGTTGTAGCACTGGAGGTGTGACATATCTTAAGAAGCTGAGGCTGTATTTGAACAAGTGTGTGAGACAAGAAAGACACTTTATGGCAATGTATCATCATAGTTAACCCAAAAGTGACTAAGAGAAATCAAGTAGCATTTAAATTTTTAATGCAATGCTACTGAATGTGTATTTGTTTTTCGAAGTTATTTACTTTCTATCACATGGACACGAGGATTGTAGGCAGTGTGACAGCAGAATTCAGCCTTGCTTCTTTGTCTTGTTCCAGAGCTTTGAAACATCTAGAATTCAGTATGAAGGGCCTTCACTAGAAATAAGTTGATTTAAACAGATATTGGGCTCATTTAGCCTCAGGTGTAATGAACATTATGTCTTCCAAGACAAAACAGAAAATAACAGGTCAGCTGTAGGAGAGAAGAAACTACAATGAAGACATTCAATGCAAGTAAACCCAGGAAAAAGTGGCTTGGAGAGAGGTGCAGTAAAAGGCACTGTACTGAGAGCAGGCTGAGCTGGGATGTGGAGGGAGCAAGGATGCTTTGTTACTCACCAGGAGGCAAATGTGTAACAGGAGGAGAAATGTTGAGAGCTGTAGATGCTGTAGTCATTCTTTTGGAGGCTCAGCAGAGGGATAGATGAAGGAGTAATATAACCTGAGCAGAGAGAGGGAAGGGGAAAAATATGATTGGTCCTAGTTGGATGCGTGAGAAAGCAGATCTGGAGAGGTTATGTCAGCTCAGGAAATAAAGAGTAGTTAATATTACTGTTTTCATTATTCTGTTTCAGGTGAAAGATACTGGCATTGGTGTTTTGGGCTTGTCTAAAGGAGGTGATCTAGCCCTTTCCATGGCCACATTTCTACCTGGCATCAAGGCAGCTGTCAGCATATCTGGAAGTAGTTTTAATTCCTTTGTTCCCCTGAAGGGGGATGGCTTCACTATTCCTGTCCACCCATATGACTTGGGGAGGATGAAGATCAGCGATGAGTCTGGAATAGTAGATTTTTCAGATGTCTTAGATGATCACATGGACCCAGCAACTTGGGATTGTCGCATTCCTGTGGAGAAGTCCTTAGCCAAGTTCCTCTTCCTGTCTGGACTGGATGACATGAACTGGAAAAGTGACCTCTATTGCCGGGATGCTGTTCAGCGCCTTCAGCAGCACGGCCGGGAAGTGGAGTTTTACTCCTACTCTGGAGCAGGGCACCTCTTGGAGCCACCATACTTGCCTCTGTGCAAAGTTTCAATCCACAGGGTGCTTGGGATGTTGATACATTGGGGAGGGCAGTGGAAAGAGCATGCTAAAGCCCAAGAAGATGCGTGGCGCAGGATACAGGCCTTTTTCTGGCAACATTTGATGGACTCAGACATCCCTAAGAGCAAGCTGTAGTGAAACCTGTCATAGATGCTGGCCAGGGATGGTATTTCAGCATTCACTGGATCTTGGAAACTCATTAGAAGTTTCCTGGACTGCCTTCCTCTAAACTCCACTGTTGCATAGTTGTTTATTTTCATTCCCCAAATAATTTCCCATTTTTTAGTTGAATTTCAGTTGACTTCTGACCCCAGCTTCACAGTAGACTAGCACCATCTGTGCTGTAGTCTAAAAACAACCCAGCGTCTCATCATCTAAATCACATTTGTGCTGACCTATCTTTGCCCTCAATCTGCAGCCATCTCCTTTCATAAGAGGAAATACTCTCACAGGAGGAGTTATCCATTCAATGGTTTAGTTTTGTACCTTTAACTAACCTAGATATAAACAGCAGTTTTGTTGGACAACACATTAGTACACTCATCTTTCCTCCTGGTATATTGTTTTCTCCCATTTTATAGTAAAAAGGTTGCACCAGTTCTGATCTCAGCTAAGGGAAGAGGCACTCTTCTGGCTTAATCTGACGTGCAGTGATAACTTTTTTTTTTTTCTGATACCTCAAAACCCAGAAATGAATCTTACCCAGATTGCCCTGGTTATATCTCCTGCTGAGTCCATATAAGTTCCATATTAGGGTAAAGTTTTTGCTGCACTACTCAAGGAGTTCAATGTGCAGTGTATCTGTGTGTGCACAGTTTGCTTGAGATTACCTGAATGAAGCCTTCAACCATCTGTGCACCTGCCAATACATTAAGGAACAATCTCGGTGTAGCCACAAGCTGTCACTTCACTGGATTGAAGAAGTCATGAGCAGAAGTCCTCACCTCCTGTTGGGAAGAGAAGTGTTGGGGTCTGTGGCTTTGCGCAGTGTTCAACATGGGGTGACACAGATGTGCCAAGTACTTGGTCTCATACGGTGAAAGTTAGTTTGTCTTCATTTTGGGGGGAGCAGTAAAGCCAATGCTGCTGAGTTCCCAGGAGCCCAGTGAGGTGAGCTGCCTCAGTGGTCCTGCCACTATAGCAGACAATTGTGGGCTCAGTGACAGCTAAGAAATGCCACTCTTCAAGAGAGGACCGACCTCACCTTCTGGGAAGAATGTGTATTTTCTTACCCTTTACCAGTGTCCAAACCTGCCAAGGGGGGCTGTAATCTACCTTGTGCTTTTGTGGGATAGTGGCAAACAGCAGTTACATACCAAATAGCATCAGTGGAGCAGATTCTCCCTCCTGGAGCAGTCAAGACTCATACCCTGACAACAGAAGCAAGCAGGAGCTGGAAGACTCTGCATTGCAATGAGGTAGAAAAATCTTGCCTTTGACTGTGTAGTCCCTGGTTTCTAGTTCCTGCTGAGACAAAAGCCCTGTAGGAGCCTGGATCCTGCTGAGGGAGGAACCATGCCCTTAGTTTTCTTGCTTCAGGGAGGCAGTGGTCACTCAAAATGAGCACATTGGGCCTCAGAGGGGTGGAGATTCTCTCATACAATTTATTCAGCACAGACACTCCCTTCAGGTACTTCTGGTTTTCCTGAACCCCGTTCCTCAGACTGGGTACCACGTAGCTGAAGGTGTGAGTAGTTGAGAGTGGGGACATCTCTCTCCTGCTCACCCATACTGGTCATCCATCAAATTTTATGCTGTTGCCTCTTACTTGATTTCTGTTTGTCCCGTGTGTGCCCACGTCCTGCATGGACTGTTTGTTCCAGATGTTTAGTGAGTGGGGGGGACCTGGCAGCTGAGTAACATATAACAACAAGGAAAGTCAAACACATTTAAGCAGTTTCATCTGGGTAAGGGACATTTTCTTTTCCCTAATTTTTCTTTTTTATTGAAGTATTCAAAAAACCCTGGGCTGCAGATCTACATTATCCTCAGACTCAGGGTCTTAGGCTGTGAGTTTCTCTGTGGTATGAGTAATTCTGTTCTTTTATTTTTACTGAACACAGTGGGGTTTATACAAAACAGTGTGTTGGTTTCCAGCCTGTGGGATAACTCACATCTATTTTAATCCCTTCTGAGGGGAAACCAAGCTTTCCCAGCCTTCAGTGGGTAGATCAATGGGTAGTTTGAATTACAAAATGGTGACCTTCCAAGAAAATACATTATCTATAGGAAACTATCATTACAAATAAAAATGCTTTCCATCAGTAAATCAACAGTGTGGTCAGTGATGCTTTCATCCAGTTATGTTGTCACATTTGGCAGTCAAGTTAATGGAAAAGAGGAAAAGAGTGTTGAAAATAGAGGATGAAAGGGAGCTGACTGGTAACTCCATTGATGACAACAGCACATAGGACCTCTTTCTTTTGTTGCTCTGGAATGACAGCTTTGCTACCCACTTAAAAGCCCTTTATTTATCACTTGGATGGCATCTGACAAGAAAGACTGAAAAAGCTGATGTAGCTGAGCAGCTTTGTGCCATGTACTGGAAAATATTCGAGGCAACTCACTTGCACTGGGAATGCTTCTAAAATTAAACTCAGGTTGGAAGCTTATCTTCAGGAAATAGAAACTGGAAACTGATGTCAGACTAACACAAAATAGCTGGAAATGGCTTAATTTCAGTAAAACACTTCTGCCTGTTCTTAAGCATGTTCTTCAGCATTTTGCTGAAGACTTTGACTACTTAATGTTTCTTCTGCTGAAAAGATGATTTAGCCCAGTAGGGCTAAGATCACAGGTTTTTTTCAAGACAATATTCTACTAATTGCAGGCTGTTGAGTCAGAGTGCTTTATATAGTCTCTCCAGGCCTGCTGAATACAGACATTATTCAAGAACAATGTGAAAGTTATTATTTAATTAAAGATAATAGACCTTTAGCTGCAAGAGCTCCTCTGCCAAGCACAACTGATAAATCTAATAGAAATTGGATGGGAAAGTCTGTGCTTGTAATCTGCTTAATTGAAAAGTGCTTCAGATAAAATAGAGTATCAAAGGACTAGCTTGAACTGAAAGATCTCATCTTTATTCTTAGTCATCCACTGTTTAGCTCTGTACTACATTTCTATTTTGAGAACAAGAAAAGCTTGTGACAAGCCTCTTAAGAACTGAGAATAACCCCTCATGTAAGCTGCTATGAACAAGTTTACTATACGGGAACAGTATGTCTTGCAATGCTCTTTTAGGGCAGGATGATTTCCCTAGCTACCATGGAATCAGGCAAAAATGGAGAGTGCTGATTTGTCCAATACATTCTTTGCAATTTTCCATCTTTGCATTGAAAACTGACCCTGAAGCATTTTGATACATGTACAGTATAACTTAAAGGAAACTGCAGAATGAAAGTAGTCAAAAGGCCTTTATTAGCAAAAAGTGAACCACAGGTGCAGAAACATCTTTGAGAAAGTGGCTGTCTCTGCAGAAGTAGTGGGTATTTGAGACTTCAGTGGAATTTTAATAAGGATTATGCTGAGCAAAAGATTTCAATGCAAATGTCCTTCTCTGAGCCTAGGAGCTTCTTCAGGTAAACAGTGACTGGGTGGCTTCTGCAAGCAAGGTTGTTTCATAGCCACAGAAGAGGAATGAGGTGAAAGATGAGAATATATGTTGTGTGGTGTAATTTAGGAGTCACTTTTCTCCACTTCTGTTTTCTCTTCCCTGTGTGTGTTTGAAAGTCTAAAGATTTTTTTTTTTAAATTCAAAGCTTAGTCAATTCTTTAATACATTACCACATCATTTGTTATCAAGCTGTGGGATAAGACCAGTGTTTAATGACAACATAAAAATAGTAAAATTTTTTCTATATTAGTATTTTGCTTAAAAAAATTATAATTCTACCATATCATTAAAAAAATCACTATTCTGCACTTTTTAGGGGTATGTACATATTATTCAGAAATGGAGTCTGATCCAAATGTAGTGTTAAGCACAGAGAAAGTGATGCTTTGTTTAGGTTTGGGGAGAAGAAAGATTAATATTTCCAATGAACTAGTGCTCCTTGCAGCATTTACTGCAAAATATTCCTGCTATTTTTCATTGTTGAGGACAAAAATTAGAAATGCTGAGTCTTAAAAAATTGTCTGTGCAAAATTTGCATTAAACCTTAAAATGTTTGTACCCCGACTCTGGATAGCACTTAGAGAAAAATAATTAAATTAGTTATCTTCTATTTATTTAAGATTGTTTCTTTTCAATTACTTAAGCTGCTGAACTTTCAACATTTTATGTTTATACTGGGAATTTATGTTTACATTAAAATCACTTCAGTAAAAGGTGTGGTTTTACGTTTTTTTAAACTCTTTTAAGAGTACTTAAAAACTTGCTGCACAGAGGGACAGTCATGCCTTTTTTCTGGTTAGTGATCTAAGAGGTAATCCTGTGGAAAACAAAATAGAACAAAAAGAAGATTAAAATGTTTTGCTGGATCAAAGAAGGAAACAGCAGGAGCATGTGTGGGGTTATCAGGAGAAGCAGGGGTGAGCCATACTGTGCCAAGAGAAGTAAGAAACTAGTACAGTTTTTGATTATGTCTTTAACAACTAGTGCAGCTGATTGTAAATTGTGAATCCATTTCTGTATCCAGTGAAGTGAGTGCTTGGCAGCTCATTGTGTGCTGCCCCTGTTTACAGTGGACCTGATCCTGAAGGAGTCAGGTATTTGACAGTAGAGTGAAAATTGTGAAATACGGGTGTCAGATAAGAGATGAGCTGGATAGATGGTTCAAAGGAAATGGACAGGAACAGAGCATGTGCATATCTCTGCTTTCATCTAGAACAGGGAGTTCAAATGCCTGGCTATCATTTTCATATGCTATGAGTTCAGCAAGGTAGTTTTGAATCAATAATCCTCTGCCATCTACATGAGTCTGTCCCTGGACAGTGTCACACTGACATCCTCAAACATCCAGCACTAATTCAAAACGGATTATTTTTGGCTGCACAGTGCTTTGACTCCAGCCAGTCTCTCATCTCTGGGTTATTTCAGATCAGAGATATGTCGTCTTGACTCAGGAAAGCTACTTTGATACCTAACAACATCACTACTGTTGTAGTGGAAGAAAAGGAGGTCAGTGGTCTGTACTTTTTGGTGGAAATATCTTTGAATCACTAAACAGCTCAGCACTTACTGCTTCCATGGCAGTCTGTATACCATTCCCTATAAAGCTGAGACCTCCTAGTCTCCATTTAGATCAGCACTGTATAGGGGCAATTCTGCTCTTTCAAGCCTTCTGGGGAATCTTGTTCTTTCTATGGCTGTCTTCCCTCACCTGAGCATATAATGTCTGCTTTCTTTTTTTTGCTCTATCTTTAACAGTTTTGCTTCTGTAAAATCAAAACTGTAACCCACCTAGACAAATCAAAAATTAACCTAAATAGAGATGTAAATTGTGCATACAAAGAAAAGAAAGATAAAGTGTGCATTCCAGGAGTATCAATTCTTAAATTTCTCCCCCTCATAAAGGGAAGTATGTGAGTGCATGGGCATATATAAATGTCTGTTGGAAAGGAGGTGAGGAATGGGGGGTGAAAAGCAAAGGAAAACCAAAAAATTATGGGTCACTTCCAAGCAGAGATATTATATGATTTAAAAAATCCATTTTGTTGTAACTTGGTGGTTTTGGGTTTTTTGGTTTTTTTTGGGTTTTTTTGTGGGATTTTTTATGGTGTGTTTTTTTTTGTTTGTTTTTTTTTGGGTGTTTTTTTGTGTGGTTTTTTTTTTTTTTTTTTTTTTTTTTTTTTTTTTTTTTTTTTTTTTTTTTTTTTTTTCCCCTGTAGAATGTAGGTTCTCCAGCAGAAATCTCCTTCTGGCAGAAGACAGACATGTACAAGTGAAAGCACCATGGCTCATGTTCACAAACCAGATGGTTTCACTGTGCAGTGCCAGAGGTGAGCATGCATGAGCCCTGCCTGCTCTGGGATTCCAGGGCTCTGCACAGTGCCCACTACTCAGCCACAGGGTGAATCCTAACACAGGACACAGGATCTACTTACAAACAAGTCACTGAAACCTGTGTTTTGTTTGCTTTCTCAATTAAGAGGTTTTGCAATCAATCGTTATTAGTACACTTATTGTCTTGGAACATTGAGAATGAATGCTTTTATGGAGAGGTAATAAATGCTTTCCATTACTGAAGCTCTAGTGACAGGTTATAGAAATTTTCTCAACTTCCTTCACTTTGAGGTCAATGTAGAAACCGAGGAACAAATTTTATTTATTTTATCTCTTGCTGATTCCATTCAGATTTTCCAGTCACTCCTCAGACTTGAAAACAATGTAGTTTTTTGTTCTCTAGTTGCTAGAGAGTCATGAGGTAAGAAAGGTATTAAAAAAAAGTTTTTCTCCCACTGGGGGGAAGATTAACATTTAGTTGCATAACTCCATTTTATCCTCTTAAGGACTGGTGATAAAAGTCTCCTTGAAATAGCCATTAACCTAAAAGCTGGGGTTCTCCATGGGTTTAGAAGGCTGAAACTCATGCCTTGGCTTTGCCTGAGAAGCTTCTCCCATTTCCCAGACTTGTGTTCTGGTCAGCAGATTGTTGTTTATTGGTACATTAGTGCTTATGACGGGTTCAGGAAAAAGGCTTACATTTTATTCCACATGAGACCAATAGGTTTTGAAATCTTGTTGTTTTCTTCATGACATGAGAGCTCATTTCATGAGAGCTTTATTTCACCAAGAAATAATACCTTTCACATAATATAAAGCAAAGTTAGTCATTTGGTAATTAACTTCCTTAGGATATATGGCTTAAGCTGTGCCTTGTCTGTGTCTCCCTTGATTCATCTGGAATATGGTGCCCAAAAGAGGAGGGAGGAAGACCAGATGTAAACATAACCTTTCTCCCTTTTTTCCCCAGTTGTCTCTGGCTACTAAGGTGTGTTTTGTGTAGCCTAAAAAATACTGTCCACTAGCAAAAGAACTGCTTGGAAAAAGCCAAACACATTCATCTCCTTGCAGAGCCTGAGAGAATGCTGGTGCCTAATAGTTACCATGCAGTGGAAGTTCAGTCATACTCAGACCAGAGCTGTCTTCTCTCTCTGCTTCATTTGCTGCTTGTTCCACTTGCTTTCTGGTATTTTTATAACTTCTGTATGCCTTATTAGCCTTATAACAGACACCACACAGAGGATGATGATGGGCTAAGGCAGGTAATACCATTCTACCTTTCAAATC